CTGGATCACTGTATCACAGGACAGAATCTTGTTTTGATTTCTTTTGAAGGAATAACTGGACTATAAGAAATTTCAGAGTCATTATTTTGAATATGAATCTGTCACGACGGAGCAGGATAGACTCACGCACAGACTGCAAATCACAATAAACAGTTCCTTATTAACACAACTCCAAGTGCACCATATACAAGTGGGGAAAAGGGATCCCAGGGGTCCACTGCCGGTCCGCTCACTCCACATGGAAATCCTCCTCCTTCTACATGCCACACTTAAACTGCCACACTCACGTACAGGTTCTGGGAAACAGGGTCTCAAGACGGGGCAAGGAGAATCTATATACAGGGTCAAGGTATTTAATACTAAGAAAACATGAATAGAACTCAAAATGTTGGAAAGGCCAGAATTACACTAAGGAGTGTTACACAATAGTCCAGCGACAAAGTGCTCACAGCCACTGCCTTAAGAAGTGGCAGACACACAGGTTGATGAATCACAGGTGAGTAATTACTTGCAGGTGCGAGGACTGAAAGCAGGAGCCCATGATGAACTCCGCCCAGGCAAACCGTTGCGAGCAGGGAGGAGAGAGAGAGAAAAACCAGAACAAACACATGTAGCCTCACTGGGCCAACTGGGCAGACACAGGGACCATGACAGTATGTTACCCAAGCAAAATAACAGAAACAAAAGAGTTGTGTTGTCATGTTCCTCCTGGATGTCCAACGTGCCCTCTCCCTTCTTTCTTTTTTACAGTTGTATTGGCGGTTGGCAAACAATTGAAAGGTGCATTACCGCCCCCTCTCCCTCTGGTTTTTCTTTCTTTTTCTATCTGTCTGTGCTGTGTGGGTGCACTAACCACACCCTGTGTTTTAGAGGCGGATCTTCTGCCATTCCAGCCAGACTGGGCACACCTAGGTACCTGAGGTCATTACCCCACCTGTTTCTGAACTTGTGATCTCCCGCTCCCTACTGAGGCTTGAGGAAGACGTCCATTTGATGCCAGACTGTTAATAAAGACCTGTTAGTGAGATTGGTGTCTCAGTATGGAAATGTCTTGATGCATGCTCAATCATTCAGGTAAGGAAATCCCAAAAAGTTGATTCTGTTCATCGGGAGTATGGAAATGTTTGTCTGCTTTTTCTGTGAGAGACTGCAACTCACCTTCTGCTTCTTTCTGTGCAGATATCTAGACCTGGGGTGTGAGTAAAAAGGAGGATTAAGGATCTGTTGAACTGGCGGAGTGTCGTAACTGAGGAGTTATGGATCAGACGGCCTGAAGGTTCTGCTATCACTGGCAACTTGATGTTCTAATTGTAAAAAAAACAAAAACGCACTGAACTTGGATTCTGAGTCTGTGTTTTCAGTCAGAAAACCTCAAACATGACAGGTATAGTACATGTACATTTTAAAACAGGAGTTTGCAGTGTAACTAATCAACTAAGTGTTTTATAATACATGTTAGTGAACTTGTAGTCAAGTTCCTAAACTTGAAAAAAAAAAAAGGTTTGGTTTTTTTTATTGTGATAAACTTCTTCAAATTTAAAATTGTATTCAATTTTGGTTATTGTTATTGTGTCCACTTGTAAATAACATTTACGTTGTGCAAGTCTTACTTATTTTTCACTTTTTCTTTGTCATGCCACCTTTGTGCTGAACTGAATTTGGGTTTTAGCCCTTGTTGTTTATTTTTCTTGTCCTGAAGCTTCTAAATTCATTCATTTTTGTCTTGAGACTTCTTTAAAGCTCTTATAATTATGCACCCTGCAAGCTTCTCCTTTTACTACATTTCAGTTAACATTTGAACACTGCTCAACAATTCTGTTTCTACTTGCTCTTGCTGGACTGGTTTGACAAGGTGTTAGAACTCAAAGGGCATAAGTAGCGTTTCTAATGCTGTTTGAATCTAACGTACTACTTTTGCAACTATCCCACTCAGATAAGTTTCCTTAGAAGTGCAGTATGCAGATGATCTGATGGATCCAAAAATGAATAACTCCAGTAAGTCCAATTATTTTCTTTTTCATATTTATTGTTTTTTTTGTTTGTTTTTTTTTTTGAGAACTTTTAATAATAAAATGAATAATTAAAACAATCTTCAACCTGAGTGCTAATTTAGTTTTTTCGCTCTTAGGTGCATCCTCTAACAAGAAAAGGTAATCCCATGTTTATATATCGTGCTTTCATTCCCTTAAACACATTTCCTATGTCCTGATGAAGCTCATGATCTGAGTTGTTATGAAATTGAACACATTAAACTCCAAAAAAAAGAAAGTGCATGGTTTTAATTTAAGTGGTGTACAAAGAGTCATCCTAAGGATGGTCAAAAGTAGATGAAAATTAAGGACTTGGATTAAAGAATTGAAAGTGGTTCTTTTGAGGCTACATTAGTCAAGTCTGGTTTTACTGGTTTCCCATATGCTAGCTCAATCCAAACAAGTGATGACTTGTTAAACTGAACCTACATGTTCCTAAAAAAATATATATCTACAGTGGGGCAAAAAAGTATTTAGTCAGCCACCGATTGTGCAAGTTCCCCCACTTAAAATGATGACAGAGGTCAGTAATTTGCAC